ATCCTAATTTGATTGGGATCTTCTTAGGATCAATTCAAAAAAATTGTGTTTGATCCCAAGATATTTAGGATCGGTCCCCAATTTTTATAGTTTATTAGATTGTAACATTGTTCTTATTAGATTTATCCTAAAAAAAATCTAGATTTTATTGAATCATAACTTAACGTGATCGAATCTTAATGTTTTTCGGTATCGTAGATTTTTTGTTTCATAATATGACAGATATACAAAGGTTGTATAACTGCTAGCAAGTAGCTGTTGCATTACATTAAGATGGAGGTCGGTTCCCCAAGAAGTGCATGATATTAATAATTGGGGTGCTTTTTATTTTTTTCCCAATGGTTTGTTGTGTTGTGATCCAGACATAGTTGTCTCCGACCCAACTTGCAGTGCCATATGCTTTTCGAGGACACCTCATGGGAATCCTATGCTTCATCCTTCACTCATTTTCTTGTTAATTCAAACTACCTTCCAAGGTCTCTCCAAGAATATAACTCATTATTGTACTCTTATTGTGAGCCCCCTTCACTCCCAATGCCCTTCATTTGAGCCCTATGTTGCTTCTCTTCATTCATCTCCTTGGTCAATTAATTTTTTTAATCATTGTTTTTAGTTTTTCAAATATTATTCACGTCAGTTTATACGCACTTTGACTAACTCTCTTCTCAATCCGATTAAAAACAAACCATCTACACCGGAACGAATATTCTTAAGGGATAAGTCTTTCATTCTCTAACTCTGAGAAATTGCCAAGACCCCCCCCCCCCCTAATATCCTTATCACCTAAAGGCTATGCGCTCCCTCATTTGGGTGTGAATTGATGGCGAATTGGCTTAACTATAATTTATCTCACTTGAGAACATACTCTACTCTTGCACCCTCGTCGCTAAAAGACTATGTGCTCCTGCACTCGTAATTAAACACGACACAAATCAGATGAAATTATTATCGGTGTAAATTGTGAATACATTTTACATTTGCTTGGCATGTTAAATAGTTGTATGCTAATTAATATCTCCAACAATACTATACACATTACCTTAAAATAGATCATTAGATTAATAAGTCCTATAAAATTTATTAAATATTTAATAATTCTAATTGTGTCAAATTAGATCACGTAAAAGAAATGATGCAAAAAGGTGGGGTTGACAACATTATTTTAATATCTTAATCAAAGTCTTCCTCTCTTGGTTAGGAAAAGCTGTCTCATTGTTGTTTTAGAGAATTTTTTGGTGAGACGGAGAGTGATGCGAGCAGAGCTATCTGCATTAAAATGAGGTTAGACCCAATTGGTGACACTGTTTTGTTATGTTTTGTGATTTTGAAAACTGGAGTAATGGAGTTGCAGGTTGTTGGCAGGTGCCTCTCATGGTAGTAAATACACATGTATAAGTATAGGGAAAGTATATGGTACAAAAAAAAAATCAGTANAATATATATATATGGTCAATAAAAGACTTTGCATTGTTAATTAAAATAATGAAAAAACCGGCAGCCTAACAAGACTTGTCAAATAGTCGTGATCACTCTTTAATATGGTTTTGATACCAACTAAACCCATAAATTGACAGCTGCACGCTATGTAGCACATACACGATGAGAAGGTGATAGAAGCTGTACTTTGGTATTATTTTCATCCCATGACAACCTGCATTAGTATGGGGACTTTTTTCCATTTCGAAAAGAGTTATTTTATTGAGATTTAAAAAATTGATTTGATATGTTGATATAATGATATCGTAATGATACAATCTAATAGAATTATTGTAACCGTAATTGTTAAATTTTTTTATTGTGATTCTATCATTTGTCACATCGTTATACTAACAAATTAGATGAGTTGTTTATGTCTCAATAGTATACTACAAGAATTAGGGTTTTTTTATGACAAGTTTGCTGCAGCAGCGGTGTTCACGATCACAAAAAAAAAAACATTTTTTGGAGAAAAAATAGGTTTTTTGTGATGGTAATACTGTCATAAAAAGTTTATTTTCTTCTACAAATATTATTTGAGACGGGTGCCCGCAAACTTTTTTTTGAGATTCCACTTATTACGGCGAAGTGTTGTAACGACATGTCTCATTATAATAAGTGAAGTTTTAAAAAAATTTTATAACGGCAGAANTTTGTTATGTTTTGTGATTTTGAAAACTGGAGTAATGGAGTTGCAGGTTGTTGGCAGGTGCCTCTCATGGTAGTAAATACACATGTATAAGTATAGGGAAAGTATATGGTACAAAAAAAAAATCAGTATCATACTCTCGATTATTATTTTTTATGATAAAATTATAACTATTCAAGTGAAAGTTATGATTAATCACAGACACTCATAATTGATTATGAACTTTCGGTAGTGATCCAAACTTCCCACGATCGATCATGGTCAAGATAGACTTTTTTAAGGGTAANTTTGTTATGTTTTGTGATTTTGAAAACTGGAGTAATGGAGTTGCAGGTTGTTGGCAGATGCCTCTCATGGTAGTAAATACACATGTATAAGTATAGGGAAAGTATATGGTACAAAAAAAAAAATCAGTATCATACTATCGATTATTATTTTTTATGATAAAATTATAACTTTAAAAAAAGAAATTATAACTATTCAAGTGAAAGTTATGATTGATCACAGACACTCATAATCGATTATAAACTTTCGGTAGTGATCCAAACTTCCCACGATCGATCATGGTCAAGATAGACTTTTTTAAGGGTAATAATAGTTCACAAACCAGCTATGATGATAAAAAAAAAATTAGAATTGTTCCCAAATACTGTGGTGTTAACATGATGAAAAAATATATAAATTATAAATAATAAAATTAGGATTAAAAATATCCGAATATGAGCATCATTTAATTTGATTTCTTTTTCAACTCTANTTGTGTTTGATCCCAAGATATTTAGGATCGGTCCCCAATTTTTATAGTTTATTAGATTGTAACATTGTTCTTATTAGATTTATCCTAAAAAAAATCTAGATTTTATTGAATCATAACTTAACGTGATCGAATCTTAATGTTTTTCGGTATCGTAGATTTTTTGTTTCATAATATGACAGATATACAAAGGNTAATTTTTTGTCATTCCAATATTAAAAAGAAGAAAAAAAAAAGAAACAATAGTAGTTGGATCAGGTTATAAATGATTTATCTCTTATAAATACTCTAATTCTTGTGTAGATGACCTATTTTAATTCTAGTGTCGATGACCTATTTTTATCAAATCGAGAATGAGATTTATCGAGGTGTTCGTTAATTTGAACCCTCTCAAAGAAAAAAAAAAGAAAAAAAGAAGAAATAATAGCAGTTTGGGACCAAGTTATGAATATTTTAATACCTGTATGAATGATTTGTCTTTATCGAATCGAGGCCGAGATTAACTGAGGTATACGTAAATTTATTGAAATAAAAAAAAATCAAAAAGTTTGGGTGAGTGGAAGTGTCTAGAATTTCTTGATATTTTCTTTTCTTTTGGTCGTCTAAGACATGAGGATCTTGAATCCTATTACCACCTTTCTAGATCCCTGAGTAGACTACGTAGCTCCCCTCTTAATGTTTTGATGCGAATATTCAAATATCAGACCCACCATGTCCACGCGCTTTATCGAGCGAATGTCCTTCATAAACCAGTGCTAATCTTTCTGGGATTTAACTATGGTATTAACAAAAATTCGATATTTACCACTTATTATTTATTTAAGAATTTTCGTCATTTTTAAGTAAAATTTATTAATTTTTAGAGTGCAATTATTTTTTAAATTTATTTATTTATTTTTTGAATTCACTTACTATTATCTTGATAGAGTTTATCACGATAGAACTTCTTGTCTTATTAGTTTTTTACTATTTTTTTGATAAAATATTAAAAATAAAATTTATAATATTTTTTTATAATTTGATCTTACAACTTATCGTGGTTTAGAATATTTATATTATTTTTTTTGGTGTATCTTATTAATTTTTGGGTACATTCATTTTGAGTTCACTTATTATTTATTTGGTTAAAACTTATATAGAATTTACTATTTTTTATATAGTATCAAAAAAATATAAATTTGATACCACCTAAGAAGTACGGATATTTCGTCAAGCTCGATGTACCCGTATCAGATATCGTATCGACTACGATACTTGTCGGATACTCAATGATATATATCGGATACGCATCATTCGTATTCGATAATTAATAAAATATATGGATACTTCACGGATACTTCTAAACATGGAACAAGATGTACAATTTTAAGTTACACCCTTTTTTTTGGAATTCATATACAATATAAAATATCAACAAAATTTCATCTGATTTTGAATATAAGAGTGTTTTTGTAAGTATTATTTATTATTACATATTAAGAGATTATAAAAAAATGAGTCATTTACACTATAATTTTAAAAATAAATACTTGTAAACAAATCAACTAATTAAATGTGGTTATGATTCCTTTAATTGATCATACTCATTTTATGAATATATCATAATAAGACGATATTACATAATTTTTATGGTAAAAATTCTTAATTTTACTTACTAATATTAAAAAATTATTAAAAATTTATAATTTTTAAGTCGTTAAATAATATTAAAATATAAAATATATTTTATTATAAACGTATTATAGCTGTACCTGAATCCTATTTTTTAAAATTTTATTATATCATCGTACTTAGTGTCACATATCTATATCCGTGCTTTCTAGAATACCACAAATCTTTCTCTATTTTTATCATTCTATACGGCTTTACCACCTTACGCCAATCATTGGCGCGTCATCGTTCATTTTGCATTCAGAAAGGTGCTGCTGGGGCTTTTACTGTCAGATGAAATCTTACAGCAAATACCTCTCTCCCTTACAGGGAGACACTGTGAAAAAGGTCAAAAACTTTTGCTACAACCCTAAGGCCAACCCTTACATATAACCTAATTAAACCTTCATCTCAAGTGAGCTTAAAAGGCCTCTCTATTGTCCATTGCCATTTTCTCTGTATTTTTTTTTTGATTCCTGTTTTTGAGGACTCACCCATCAAACCATACCCATGTTCATAGCTTAAAAAAAGAACCTCCTCTCTCTCTTTCTTGATTCTTGTTGTTTTTACCCCTTTTTTTTCAATCTGCAGTCAGGTTTCAAGGTTTCTTTTTTGCATCAAATCATGTCTAGTTTGTATACCCAACATTTGAATTTCTCACCTGCAAGAGCTGTTTCTCCACATGTAAGGACTAACCCAGATGTTGATAGGTACTGACTGCTTTCAAATCTGTTTACAAAGAAGTAATTTTGAGATTTGATTTTGGGGGTGTTCTTCACAAAATTTAGAAAAAATCTTTATTGGGTTTTGTGTGTTTTCTTACATTAAATTAAATCTTTTTATGTTGTTGTTAATTTATTTCTTGCAGTCAGTACTTGTCGGAGTTATTAGCAGAGCACCAAAAGCTCGGGCCTTTCATGCAAATCCTTCCCATATGCAACCGACTCTTGAATCAAGGTTGGTTTGGTACATGCCATCAATTTTTNATTTATTTCTTGCAGTCAGTACTTGTCGGAGTTATTAGCAGAGCACCAAAAGCTCGGCCCTTTCATGCAAATCCTTCCCATATGCAACCGACTCTTGAATCAAGGTTGGTTTGGTACATGCCATCAATTTTTGGATCTGTATTTTGCTCTGTTTTCTTGTGTTTCTCTCTTGCTCTTGCCTACTAACAAGGTCTCTCCATGTTCTAATGTTATTGATCAAAACACAAGTTAAATTGAATCCATCACCTCTGCTAACAATATTCTAGTATTAGATATCCATTGACGGTTGTTATAGTTAGGGTCCGATTATTATTATTATTTATATATTGCTCAAACAATTCTGATTTCAAATCGGAGTTTTTTTTTTTGGGTGGTTGCAAAATTTGGAAACTGAATGTTAGTATTTGTTTGCTTGGAAGGATTACACAATATTGTGTCTCTGCAGCAGGAATGCTTATTTAGTTTCTGAATGATGGTAGGAATCCATTGACGGTTGTTATAGTTAGGGTCCGATTATTATTATTATTATTTATATATTGCTCAAACTATTCTGATTTCAAATCAGAGTTTTTTTTTTGGGTGGTTGCAAAATTTGGAAACTGAATGTTAGTATTTGTTTTCTTGGAAGGATTACACAATATTGTGTCTCTGCAGCAGGAATGCTTATTTAGTTTCTGAATGATGGTAGGAATCAATATTTTGGATCAACTAAGATCCAAAGCAATGAAAGCGTTCGGTTTTCAGAGATTGGGATCACATTTTAGAACATTTAAATGGGAAAAGAGAGAAATGGTCTTTACTCTGACTCACTACGGTGCAGTACTTGTAAGCATCCAAAATGACCAACTCCAAATTGGAAACTTATATTCTTCATAGTTTGACATATTGGACTATGTTCTTGTCATTCTCCTTGCAGCAGTTGGTACTGAAATCCAGCATGCTATTAAATCTCAAATCGAGCACTTGTTATTAGCTAATGGTTTTGATCGATTTTATTATTCTCGTGAAGTCTTCTGTTTCATGTTATTTCTCTAATCCGTCGATCTTATGCTTTACATTTTCATCGTTGTCCAAATTTATTTTGCAAAATATTAATGTTATCTATATGTAAGATATCTTCGTGACCTTTGATTACTATGTAATGGTCACAGAGATATTGAGGGTTTCCGGAATGATATCCAACCAAGGGTTGAGTGACTATGACAGACTACAACGTGGAAGCCCTAGTCCTATTGCCTCGATAGACATGATGCCAGATATTGGAGTTGGAGGAAAAGTTTTACGTGGCTGGACTGGAAATGGATGGAATGGCCTTCAACAGGAGGTGAGTTGATACATGCTTGAACACCAATCACCAAATGTATTACTCCTTGCCTTTCTTTCTTAAACTATATCATTTGTTCTCACAACTCCACTTGACAAAACCTTTTCCAACCTATTATTCTTCATTTCTTCTTTCCCAAATTTTATTGCCGCATAGCTTTACATGCATTCCCTTTTGAATATTAAGTACAACTTATCTCATGTTTGTATGCTTGCATAAGTTATTAATGTGGTATACATCCAACTTTACATCCCCTTAAAAATCCCAGAGTGAAGGGGAATGTACCCAAAGGGGTGTGAGAGTGAGCATGTAAAGTTGCTTTGGCTATGTTATTTTACTCTTTTTCTTCAATTTCTGTAGAAGATCAAAATTTTATACTACTCCTACTGGTGCTCTCAGCATGCTTATTGTTTAAACTTGTTTAATGGTTCTGATGATTTATGAGATGGAGTCCTAATTGGAGACCAAACTTATTTCTGGCTTAATCCAACATAATACTATTGATTAATAACTAAACAATTATTATATGTGGAATGATGAAAACTCCCTATTTGAGCTCATATATTAGCTTTCAGTGAGGAGGAATCAAATTATCATTGTCTTTATTGAAACCCAAAGCTGCGGCATTTTTGGGTTTTGTCTAGCAGTAACCGCGTAAAGCTTACAGTCAGTGGTCTTGTCTTGCCTTTGAGTTTTAGCTACACTTATGATAACATACTCCAAAAATACTAATCTGGGATGGCTTAAAGGCAGTTGAGACCATAATGTATGCTAAGCCACCATATTTGGGTGTAGTTTGTGTTTGTATTTGGAACTTGTAATTGTATTCCAATTCTCTTTTCTTTTTGTCCCTTTCTTGTTCTCTTTTCATTTGATTCATTGCATGTCCTTCTTGTCCTTTTCCTTCTTTAAAAGTGTGCCCTCGATTAGAGTCCCAATACTAAGACTTGGTTGATTTCACAATAGAGATTAGTTGGACAACAGGGGATGACTATAGACTGGCAATCAGCACCAGGAAGCCCAAGTTCCTACATTGTGAAAAGGGTATTGCGCTTGGAGATACCAGTGGATAGCTATCCGAATGTAAGCTATGTAACAGTGATCTCTTGCTTTTGAATATATTTTTAGCTCAACAATAATTCTGGAATTAGTTATGATTAATAAAAGAAACTGTTTAGAATAACTACATTTCTTGTGGATATCAGTTCAACTTTGTAGGGAGGCTTCTAGGTCCTCGAGGCAATTCCCTTAAGAGGGTGGAAGCTTCTACAGGATGCCGTGTATTCATCAGAGGAAAGGGTTCAATAAAAGACCCTGACAAGGTAATTTTTTTCGGAAGGCGTCAGAAGTTACATATATTGCCTGTAGAGTTTGTAATATTTAAGTTTGTATTTGTTATATACTACCTACATCTTCATCCCGCTACTGGTAAGTACTGTAAGTTGTTTATACTCTATATTTCAAGAGTTTAATTTGTCAACAATGTCTTTATGCTGAAGGAGGAGAATCTGAGGGGGAGACCAGGCTATGAGCACCTGAATGATCCACTGCATGTATTGATTGAGGCAGAATTACCCGTCAATATTGTCGATGTACGTTTGAGGCAAGCTCGGGAGATAATAGAAGAATTGCTCAAACCTGTGGTATTTACTTTTCGGTTATCCAGTTCATTCAATGGACTACGGCTAGTTAGTACTTCCAAAAGCAGATTATATTCCTTGTTCCATACTCTCTTGTTGGCCTGCATACTTGTATCAGTAATGGGAAATAGACATGTGAAATGTTAGAGAGCATTAAAAAGGATGGCTCGGCTCTCGCTACTGTGGGGGTTTGGGAAGGGTCACACTGAGTATTGAATCAAGTAAATGATTTTGCATATAAACTTAAAGAAAGTCAAATTGTTCTTATGTAAAACAAGCAAATATCATGAATCATCTTTTTGGCTTTGTAAATTTCAAACTTGTCACGTTCTTGGATGGACCATCATTTGTGGGTCTCTCCTTTGGGAACTTGGGGATATTAAGTGATCCTATCAACACTTATCAATTGCGTGGACGAGTCTGGTCAGATATGTCAAAGTGACATGCCTCTTGCTAGACTTCTATTATATGGTCTTTCAGTTGCTTAACTTACCAAAATTCTGTGCATATGGTGCTTTGACTACATGAGTTTGAAGGTGGAACGATGAAATGACAGTATCTCCTTCCCCTAGTAATTGTGCATTATGTGTGTGCTAGTGTTGTTTCTAGGCCATTCTTGTGTGTCCTAAGAAGGTCCCTTATCTTTTCTTCATCCCATTTCCCTTCATCTTCTGTTGCAGGATGAGATACAAGATTTCTACAAGAGGCAACAGCTAAGAGAACTTGCTATGCTGAACTCCAATTTCAGAGAAGAGAGCCCTCAACCGAGGAGTAGTGTCTCTCCTTTCAATTCTAGTGGGATGAAGCGTGCCAAAACTGGTTGGTAGCAGTTCTATAGTTATAGTGGATGGTTTCATCAGGATTTCCATGACGACTCCTGCTTCTTATCACCATGTTTTGCCCCTGGAAGCATCCCATGCTAAAGCTCCAAAGTGTGATCTCTAAAATACCTTGGTTGTTGAGCTATAATGCAAGAGACTCGTTTGAGAACATGAAAAAGGGAAGGAAAGATGACAACAATTCTTATGTCTACTGTGACTCTAGTTGATTGCAGTTGTTGAAGTAGAATATGCATTGGATTTATTTGTTGTTGATGATTACTTGATTAGTGTTTGGAAATTGTTGTATAGTGCTAGCCTTTGATTTAGCATTGGGCTTGAAACACAGATTAAATAGTTCTATTACATTTCTTCTTGTGAGTTATATCCTCGATATTTAGCAGTAGTTCTGGGAATCACCTTGCTTTGGTGTTAGTAGTCCATTGACAGGAAATGTCCTCAATAGGCTTCCCATGATGGTGGTTCCAAGTGCTTTGGGAGTGAGTTGGCCGGGCTTGCCTAGCTAGCATAATCACTTTCTCATGGACCTTGTAACAACTCAACTTCATAGTAACTTACCACATAATTAGCCCTTCTTTTGCTCATTAAATGGCATACTTTCTTAGGTGGGCATTGTTCATGGCCAAGAAACCATCGGACCGGAGATGGCAGGGAATTTGATGTAAAAAGACCAATGATGATGAAAGAGGAATAGGAGCTAACTCTAAATGATTACGAGATAGGCAATGAGACAAATTCAAGACGGGAGAGCATTTTGATAATTCACTTCGTGTATGGGGAAGTCTATTGGTAGGAATTCCTCAGAGCCCATTGTGGTTTTTTGCTGAGGGGGTGGATCGAAGCGATTGCAATGAAGAATTGATCTAAAACGAAGCATATCGTCTATGGGAATTGTAAAAAGAATAGAATATGACCCTAATTGTTCTTTTTGAATCACTCTAGTACGATAGATCGAGGGGGTGCAACTAACTCAGCTAAATTGGTTTTCTCTAATGGCTCTTTTTCCTATATTATTTTAGGTAGTCTTGCTACATCTATCCACTACAGAGTTGGTCTAACTATCGTGAGCAAGTTTGCTGATTCTTAGTACAACTTTTGACTTTTCTAATTCGACATGATAACCCCCGTAAATGTAGGATTCTAGGAGAGATCAATTAGGCTTGCTTCGCCCTGTCAAACTCTCTCTTTGTTATACAAAGAACTGTCTCTTTTAATGTTCTGAACTTTCTCAAGATTGTTGCTCATGGTGGAGTGAACTTATTTACATATTGGGCACAACCAAGCAGCCACCCCCATCGATGACAAACATGGAAAAAGGAAATCAGAGACTTATGTTGTTGCACAAATAGAATTATGTCCATAGTTCACACTCAATTACCAATACTTCATTAGAAGAGAGAGATAATTACAATTGGTTTTTATGGATAGAATTGAAAGAGCATAAAAGGGCTTATTCGCCAACAAAAAATTGACGGAAAGACTAATGCCACCATGTGTATGTTATACCTACCCTTTTTAAATATTATGCTTAGTTAAACATTATGATCAAATACCAAATAATGTCACTGGTTGTCCGAGGGCCAATCTCAAGGACAGTCTCGCAAAGGGAGGTTTACAAGTCTTCCATCCTAGTAGGACTTGGGAAAACATGTATTAGCACTTTTTTTTTTTTGACCAAACGGTACAAACCTAGCAGAGCACCACAACACAACTCCTTATAAGGACAAGTGCCATGGGCCCATATATGCATTAGCACGAAACGAAAAGAAAAGAAAAAGAAGCAAAATTACATGGCCCAGAAAGCATGTTGGGTCGGTTTGGGCAAGAGATGAAATCCAGAATCCAATATATGAACTCAGGGGTGTTCAAATTTTTGATTGGTCGCAATTTCCTACCCTATTGAACGGTTAGCCGCAAGAATCGGATAAAGATGCGAAAGAGTTTTTGGCCTTTTGATTAAATTGGGTAGGAATGCAGAATGACCATTAATTTTCGCATTCCTACCCTACCATACCTGCATGAATTAATATATATATAAACTAAAAAAAACCTAATCGTCTACTAGTCCTGTTCGACAATTCGAGCGCCTCACACAGTCACACAGCTCACTCCATTTCTCCTTCATCGTTCAGTCCCATTCCTAGGTACTCTCTCTCTAGGGGTATTCAAATTTCTGACTGGCCGCAAGTTCTGACCCGACCCGACCTTATTGAATGGCTAGCCGCAAAAATCGGGTAAGAATGCAGAAGAGTTTTTGGTCTTCCCATTAAATCGGGTAAGAATGCATAACAGTCATCCATTTCAGCTTTCCTACTCTACTCTACCCGTATTAATTTATATATACTAGTTGGTGCACACGTGCATTGCACGTGGACAATAAAATATGTAGATCACTTGTCCCGAAGAAAACCATGATGTTTAATTAGTCAAGAATCATGTTCTGTATGACATTCCCAAAATATATAAACTACATTAATATTAAATACAATATATGGTGAAAATATAGCTCAGAAATCTCAAGCACCTTTTCAACATGTAGACAAACTTCGCAATTGCCTTCATCTACTCAAATGAGAGTACATTTAAATCTTATTAGTACATAAATAATGAATTTCACAAAATCAGATGTTTAGTTCAAACTTTATTACATATGACTTTCTAATTGCACACCTACATTGCTAGTGGTTTGTCAGAGTTCATGACCACCTAACCAAATGCAGATTCAAAAAAAAATTGATGAAAATGAGTATTTATTTGGCTTTAGAAATAAATAAGAAGCATATTATCTATTTGGTAATTTTTAATAATTTGTTGTGTCCAAGATATGTCACAATTTTGGAAGACTAGGAGAGACGGATTATTGGAGAGGAAATTTAATTTCAAGATATAAAAGCAAGTAGATAATAGCTTGCAACTTAGACAGAATTCTGGTTAATCATGAGATTAATTGTTACTCTCTTCTTCGAAGCTAAATTTATTACTGGTACTAATGGACTCTCTAACTATGCCCAAGCATTATTCAGTTGAATCACTTAGTGCAGCATAGCCATGCGCAGTCTAATCATCCCAATTCCTCTACTGACAAACCAACATTTTCAAGGGCAATATGAGTGCATGAAGAAACAAACACCAATGAGACCATATAACTTTTCCTAGTAAGAAAGATAAAATGTACATCCAAAATAACTTAAAAAAATCTTCTTAGAGACAACCACAATTTTTTTGAGAGCATTTGAGGAAGAGTTTGTGATCCATGTAAACAATTGGTTACATTTACTAATTTCATGGCTAAACAACACCAGCTCCATATGTACGTCAATACTGGAATAATCAATGATAATATTAACCTCATGAGGTTAGTTCAAGGGATGTCACATACTGATCAAAATGAGGACAACACTAAGCTTAATACAAGAATTTCTAAAAATTATAAGTGCACACTTTTGGGGCATGTTTGGATGATTTTTCAAAGGACAATTGGATTGGTTTTGGGAAACCCTTCCCAAACTCAACCCCCCATTTTGTACATGGGATTAATACACACGGATTAGTAACAATCATAACCAAAAAATATCATGTAATTGACTAAATTGCCTATTGGTCAATTTAATCCATACTCATGTTTGTTTTAAGTCCAAAGAGGGGAGTAGTTGGGGGCTTAAAATGTGATTTTGGGTAGATAGAATGATTTATTTGGGATACAATGATCAACTCACATATTTATCCTAAATTAATAGATATGAAACCCTTGGGTTTGGTAAAACCCATGTTTATGGATCTGGCAGCACTATTCACCACGGGATATATAGGATTTGAATCATGGGCCTTAAATTCAGTAACAAACATGGGTATGACTGGTCCATTCGACTATTTTGATTAAACCCCCTTTTACAAACACCCCAAACCCAATAAAAAAAAAAAAAAANTAACAAACATGGGTATGACTGGTCCATTCGACTATTTTGATTAAACCCCCTTTTACAAACACCCCAAACCCAATAAAAAAAAAAAACCCCTCGACGTGCTCCCCTAGGACAGCTAGGTTCGAGTTTTATGCGTTTCTCGACAATGTCACTCCTATTTAAGGGCCTAATTGCTACTTTTGCAGCTCACACATCATAATGTTCAATAAACCTATGGTGTCTCTTGTGTGGTGTTCATTGTCTCTTGGACTTTAGCAAAGTACAAAATAGACAAAGCAAGGACGAACCTATAATTCAATTGAAGGCACCAAATGCATTCTTCGAACAATAACTCAAAATATAAGAGGAGCTCAATTTATGAAATACTTTACATGCATGTCATGGTCATTGTGGTGGTGGATGTTGTCCAGCTTCGAAAATTGCCCTCAAATAGTTGTCACCCTATTCATCCTCAAGAAGTTTATAAATAAATAAAAGCCTTGGAGATTAAATATGCTTACATGTAGTGATTACTATTTATGCTAAAATTATTGTTACACTACTAAACCCTCTATTGGTAATTATGCACCACTTCTTGGAACCATCTCCCGAGACACCAAACCATTTTTATGAAACTAAGAATCCTAAGAAAAAGAGAGAACATTTTTCAAATAATGCCTCTTACTCAAAAACTAAAAACAAATCTTTCGTACTAAATTTACGTACAAGTGCTCCTAAGTGACTTATTTTATTGAATTGATCGGGAAAATGTGTTATTAGTAACAATAGCTATAAGGCTATGGATGATAGAATTTGCTAATTTATCCACATTTATTCATTGAAGTTAGCAAAAGCACTTGATCAATTTCAAATTCTTACACTACACCTACATACAATACTTCTATAATAACATGAAAAATTATTACAAAATGATAGTTGGAGAAAAAACAAATGAAAAATGTAAAGACTAAAATACTTGCACCTGGTTAGAATAAGCGATCACATACCTAACTAAGTACATTGTCGACGATACCACCTCCCTTCTTCCACATTATCAGGTTTTATAACTTCATCAGGCTTGTCATTCAGTGCATTAGTCGTCACACTATCCTCTATTAACATTCAAGGCAAATTCAAAAAATTGTTCAAAATAGGTGATCGTCATCATAGATAAATCAGCTCCATAGTCCAAAAAAAAAGAAATAAATTAGCTCCATAGTGTAAAACCAAAGAGATAAATCAACTCCCAAGAAGCTACTTTTTTCTAATTGGACATCCTCTAATGGAAAAAAAAAGCATCAAAACCAAACTCGACTAAACATCCGTAATTTGTTTCATGACTAAGGATCTTATCTTAAGCTAATAGTTTTTATAGAGTCACAAACTCCCGACTATTCCACATAATCACTTGAGACATGGGCTATGGAAGAAACAACATACCTTGTTTATTCGACATCATATTTCTCCTAAATAAGAAAATATGGTATGATG